TTTCCCAGAATAAAATCAAAAAGAGGAATTTACTGTTTATATACATTATGCAGATGAGGATATTAATTTTGTTTTTAAATCTGTTTAAGTATATTGATCGAATTAATATTTTATTTTTAGAATAAAAATCACGTTTTATTATTTATTTATATTATTTCCACTAAACATATGCACATTTTAAAAAATTATAAAATTAACGAAGATTTTTCCAAACAAGATTATTGACATGCTGTGTCATTGTTCAAAAAAATATATATATAAGCCAATAATCAAATTTAATTATATCTCTTGATATTCTTGCAGATATGAAAGATAAGACTGTGGCTCAGAATATATCATTAGCTGAACTCGGCATGGATTCAATGATGGCCGTAGAGATTAAACAAACACTAGAACGTGAATATGATATCTTCCTCACCGCGCAAGATATTCGCAATCTAAACTTCGCTAAATTAGTGGAGATGCGCGATAAGGATTTGGAACGACAGAAAGCACAGAATCCAGATATCAATGAACAGACAATCGAACTATCTGGCATACAACTGTTACTTCAGATTTTGTACAACGTAGATTTGCCTACTGAGACCTGTATGGAATTACAAACTAGGATGGATCCGCGCAAAATAAAAGTGTTCCTCCTGCCGAGTATACAGGGTTACGGACATATATTTAATCCACTAGCGTCAAAGATCAGACCTTTCGCAACGGCTTTGCAATATGGATTGGTGAATACTATGTCTATACCCGAATATGCCGATCATCTTTTACCAGTACGTATACACGGAAGAATGTAAATGATAAATAAAATGAGATATTCATTTAATATTTCTTTTTTACGAATTCTTTCTGAAAGATATTTGCTTTACTCAGACTGACACACGTTTCATTGGAATTTTCAGTATGTCTTGCCAAAAGCGGAAGAGCAAAGAGGTTTTGCCATAGTCGGATATTCGTATGGTTCATTAATTGCTCTCGAATTAGTGAAACGACTGGAAAAACATGGTTTAAGTGGTCGACTAGTATTGATTGACGGTGCTCCTGAGCAATTGAAAATGATGTTAGATCAATTCCTTCCAGCTACTACAGAAGAAGAACTTCAAAATAATGTCTTGCTTTCTATCATGGATACTATACAACCAGCTTCAAGCGGAAAGGTAGATTTTACTAACCGTTACTAAAATACTATTTTATCATCACGATCTTCTTATTGTCAACATCCCGTTTATTTTTCTTTTGCAGCTACTTTTAGATCTTGAGAAATGTACAACCTGGGAAGAAAAATTAAATGTTTTCTTGTCGCACGTTCCTGACAAAATGTCGCTTACCAAGAAAAATTTATATACAAATATTTATATGCATATTCTCGCTTTGCGAAAGTACGACTGGTCATCCTTGGGATGGATACGATCGCCTATAACACTTTTGAGACCCACGAAATCATCTGTCGATATGATCGAAGAAGATTATGGTTTACACAAAGTAATATGTCTCTATGTACTTTTTACAAACATTTGGTTTCAATTTCTCATAATCGATGTCTAATAACGGGAATAAAACTTTTCAGATCACGCACGACAAGGTGAATACATATTATGTTGAAGGCAACCATATAACGATGTTGGATAGCGACAAGGTCATAGCTGCGATCAATGGAGAATCGTTGCGGGATCCTAAAGAATTCAGGAAACTTTTAACAGAAGATAGACCATTCGAAGAAACAGAACGTACAAGAGACTGAATTACAGCTTAAAAGTCTGTAATATATTTAACTTAAAAAAAAAAAATTTGCCAAGTTTAAGCTGTAAATACAATTTGGATTTGCCAATATTCGAATTATTCGAATATTAATTCATCGAATTAACCATTACTCAAATTCTATACAAATTTTAAAATTAATTTAGATTTATTTCCTTTCCCCTCCTCCCTCTTCTATCTTAAGAAATAGAAAACTAATTGCAAAATTAGGTAATTATTCAGATTAACAGACATCGCGCCGATGACTTCGACTTTGAGATTTATTGTCAAGGTCATAACCTGAGTGCCTTTCACAAGGCTTAGATTTCCCTTCGCATGGAAAATCGTATGTCCGTCATACAATATATAGAAATAAGACAATTTTTAAACTTTATTTGTTAATAACTTTTGAATGAACAGTGACCACTATTTAAAACCTTTTGAAGATCATTCCTTTTGAGGAATAACATATGTCAAGGTCAAGATTATTGGCGCGGTGTGTTCTTTAATCCAAATAATTATCAAAAATTAATATGCAAAACTTGATTGAAGTTATATATAACAAAAATGTAATTAAAACAGAAAAAATGTTGTATATTATTTTTTTATTTCAAAGATATTCGAGTTTTGCTAAGTTAACTCGAATTTATTTCGAGATTCTCTTACTGTATTACCACAGCATAGAATGTGATCACAAAATAAACTGGGATAATGTCCAGATGTTAGATATAGAACCATGCTTTCAAAAAAGAATCATGTCGGAAATGATTTTTATTAAAAAAACAAATTAATGGTCTGAACAAGCAGAATGATATGGAAAAATTACCAGAGTCATATTTTCCTGTGCTTAGCATAAGCACCCCTACGTAATATCATTTTACCCTTTCCTTCGATACATGTTAGATATATATATAGCTGGGTATCATGGTGAGAATTCGGCAAACATTGTAACAAGTACTTTATTACAACAAGGCATCCACTATTGATATTAATCTACACAGTTGACTATAACACACAACTGGTACTAAGTTTCTATATTTTATAACTCGAAAAACGAAGTTGAAACATTTAAATAATCAAATAATATTGTAATCTAGAATCTGGAAATTTTGCGTTCAAGTTACGAAGTAGAAACATTTGGACTACCGGAATTATTGTAATAAAAAGACGATTTTCTTTGAATATAATAACTCTAATCTTTTTGGACTAACATCAATATATGGAAAAATAAAAGAACAATTTTTAGATAACGAGCGTTTTGACGTTATAATTAGACATGTCATAAGATAACACACTTAGATGAGTCGTCCGTTGCGTGTAAATATTTTGTATTTGTTATATACTGAAGATGGCCAAATGTAAAGCTGAAACGTTTATATAACACTCAATTATGTGCAGTTAAATTATAATGTATTGTAATCAAATAACTATTCGCTAACGTTATCTTGCGTTCATGGTGTATGCCCTTTATTTTTATGTTTTTCGAATTTATTTATTTCTATTTAGCTATATAGTTTTAAAAAGAATGCTTTCTACGACGAAAGATATTATTATAACCAAAATAATATAATCAAAAGAAGTTATTTTTTAATTAAAGCTTGTAATAAAAAAATATTTAATTATGTTTACTTTTTCTTATTCGTTCAAATTTTTAATTGTATTAAAAATTTTTTATATGTATTTATTTTCACTAGGATTATAAAACATACATAATGTATAAAAGAATCTTTATATGCGCGCGTACGTGTAAAGTTGCATCAAATTTCAATTTTGGCTTATTGTGTTTTGTATTTAATTTTCTATCGAATATTTTATAGATTAAATTTAAATTTTCAAATGTAATTCTTTGGATATTAAAATTTAAAATATATAGCTCATTCAAACATCCGGATTTGAGTAAAAATAGATAATAATTAGTTTGGATAATTCAGATATTATATTTATCGGATACTTATAATCCTAATTTGGGTATACTTAAAATTGGCGAATATCTGTAGGCGATATAATTTTTTAATTTGTAGAATAAAATTACTGTTACAAAGTTGATGCACAAAATTAAATTTAAAAAAATAAAAACTTTATATAAAATTTACTAATGTAATCATATCTTCAATTAATTCCTGGAATTTCTAATTTTAAATCTTTTCTTTCTTCTCTCGAGAAATATAATCAGTTGACTGTGTTGCTAAATATATTTCTTTAGATATTTTAACTGGTCTAATACTACTATAAATTAACAAAAAAAATCAAAAAAAAAAAAAACAAAAAAAAAAAAGAAATCAAATTTTAGCAAAAAAAGAATCTAATCCTAATATTTATTGAACTCCTAGTATTTAATGGAATCCTAATATTTATTGAAGCTTACCGCTAGCAAAAATTTAATTTAAAATTAATAAACTATACAAATATGTTTTCTCAACAAACAATTAATAATTATCTAAAGTAAGACATTTATCTTTTTGTTTGTAAAGCTTAACAAATAAAATAATTAATAAATGTGAACTTGTGACAATAATTTTCTTATTCTGATATTAGACAAAGGTATTAAAACTCTGTTGCAATTTTATTATCATAATGGTAATTTAATGCAAAACTAATACATACATGTATTATATCATTTTATACCAATCATTCATAATAAACGCTCATGTTATCATTTATATTACCTCGCTTTATACATAATCATTATCTTTCATTCGCTCAATACTACATGCAAAATACAAATTGAAAAAAATTATTAGTGGTATTTAATTAATTTCCTCTATTCTAAGAATCTTTATTCAATCATCGATTTTTTTCTTTAAGATTCTTTTTTGCATTGTTTTTTTATTATTAACATTTGCTGTGTAATAAAAGTCAATGTATAGATATAAAAGACAAAATGCAAAAAAATATTTTTATTTTATGGTTGTGCTAGAAAAAAAACAGATACATTTTCGAATAAAAAAAATACTCAGACCCAATATACATATTTCTTCATAATAATAATTTCTTTCATGTATTAATTACATAAATGATATAAATAAGAAATTGTAACAAAATAATATACAATAAAGAATACATATAATGAAAGAGGTACATGCGTATTTAAGGCTCCTGAGTAGTTACTACAGTCATATAGAATCATGTCAAAAGCGAGAAATGATAATTTGACATGTTAATTTTATGTGCCATTTGTAAATAAAGACGATTTAGATAAAACAAAATGCTGAGATTATTTTAAAACAATTGTAAAAATGGACGAAAGCTATTCTTATTTTTTCCTGACAGTAAATAATTATAAATAAAAAGTAATAAAAGACATGAAAATGCTTTTACTCAATACACATACGTAGCCTATTTTCACTTTCACGCTGGAATAAGAAAGGTAAGCTATTTCCATGGATACGCAATAGCCTAAAAATAGTGGAAAGCTAACAGCCAATCACATTGGACCCCAATCATTTAATTTCTGATCAGTATTATGTGCGTTTGAAATTTGCGCGCTTCGCTGGGGTCCAAAGTGATTAGTTGTCATTTTGTGTCTCTCACTTTTTTTTCGCCATTATACGCAATAGCTTACCTTTCTTATTCCACCATGCCTTTTATCATTTTTTACGATCATTACTAACTATCTGAAGAAAGATAAACATAGTTTTCGTCCATTTTTACGATTATTTTAAAGCAATATCATCATTTTATTTTATCCAAATAGTCTTTATTTACAAATAGCACGTAACAAAAATTAAATCATTTTTTATCATTTTTGACGTCACAATTCAATATGACTGTGGTGACTATTCAGGAACCTTAAAAGGCGAAATTATAATAAGACATATTAAAATAATGTGAAATCTACGATTATCAAATGAAAATAATATATTAGAGATGCGTTTCAAACTTACTCAGATGCATCATTCAAATGATTATTATACAGTAGGAGAAACCGCAAAACACATTTTATCCCTTATCCTACTCTAGTTTACATTTTGCAGATTATTGAAATCTTTTTCCAATTTAAAGTTTAAATAATATTTATACTTTTTCGTTTCCAACGTATTTGGAGATAAAATATGCAGTACTAACCAAAGAATCTCATAACTCCATTGGCTCAAATGCTGATCTGACACTGGATAATATGTTATTTAGATCGGGAATAGTAACATTATTGTTGTTATTATTGTCGTCGGATGTATTCGGGATTGGCGTTGGAGTATCTCTTGTTGGTAGAATACGGAGATGTCTATTTGGTGGTTCCCAAAGAACCAGAGCCATAGAAGGCCTCTCTCTATAAGAGAAAAAAATAAACAAGGCTTGAAAAACATAGTACATTTTTTTCTTTTTAGTGCTCTCTCTCTCTCTTTCTCTCTCTCTCTCTCTCTCTCTCTCTCTCTCTCTCATTCATTCTTTTTCAAAAAGCGTTGTATTTTTGTTATATTTTTAAATCATATATAACCAGTGTAAACTTACAATTTAGATATAAGAGTCGATGGCAAAATAGGTTCCTCTTGCATTCGCTTGAGTTCCTCTGAAAGAACCAATCTTGGATGTAGATCGCTTGTTTGTTCGGTATTTAATGCATTCGTTGCATCGACATCCAAATCCATATTTAATGGCTTATGACAGGAAGATGACGTATGAACAGTAGAAGTTGATTGCACCGGATTCTCGGATTCATAATTAGAACTAATGTGCAGATCTTTAAAATGTGCAGTTATTTTTTCTTCTGTTATAAACTGCTTTTTTTGACGCCTATTTGAATAATATATTATCATAAGATTTTGCCACATAATTAATCAGTAGACGACATATATAAAAATTACATTACATGTATTCTTCAATATCTAGTGCTCCTAATTTTCTTTTCTGATGAAGTATTGGTCCAGAGCTGGTCTCTCCAGTAAATCTAACCAATTCTGATTGATGTAACGCTGGTACACTCCAGGGAATAGTTATTGGTGGTACTTGTGGTGTTTGCATCCATGATCCAATCTGCTGTAGATTCTGTTGCTGCTGTAAATTCTGTTGATTCATCATCTGTTGTAAAATAGACTGTGGTGTATATAAGTGCGCTCCACCCATAGTATTCTGAAAAATAAACATATAAATAAAGATGTACAGAATAATATAGAATTTTTTTTAGAATATCATATATAGCAAATTTAGTTATTTACATGTTTTTTTTTAATTGCAATTTTTCAAAGATACAAAGTTGTCAAAAGTAAGTCCTAATTTGAATTACTCTGCATTGATACATATTAAAAATACTATATATGAAATTAA